AATTAAGATATCCGGAGAACCCGGATCCGGATAAAGATAGTAAAATTTAGGATCCGTGAAAAGAGGATCCGGATCCGGATAGCAAAATTTTAACGTCCGGATATCCGGATCCGGATCCGGACGCATTAAATATATTAAAACCATATATATTATATATCTATTAAACTAATTTATATAAATAAATATATATAAAAATTGATTTTAGTTCTTTTTATAATGAATTATATTTATAATGAAAAATACCATTTAAAATATTAACTAATAATTTTTAAATATATATTTTTATTTATTTATTAATTATTTTAATTATTTTTAATATTAATTTCGGATCCGGATCCGGATCCGGATATCCGCGGATATCTTGATTTTTGGAAAGATTCTTAGAGTCCGGATATCCGGAGGTCACGATTCCGGATCCGGATAATTTTTCCATGGATCCGACGACTCCGGATCCGGATACTCTGAAATTCTAAGATATCCGGAATCGTCCCACCCCTAGTATTTATATCAAATACACAATTGAATGACACGGATTCATCTTTGATTTTAAAATACATTAAAAGTACATATTCAATAACACCTCCTTAGTTTCTAAAAAAAAAAAAAACTTAAAAGTTAAACCACATAACATTCGTCGGCAAAAAAAAACTCATACCATTTATATTGGGATTATTGAAAAAATCTTTATTCAAGTTTTTTTCTTGTGGATTTTATCATACGAAATTAATAGTGGGGAGCTAATTAAAAAGAAGTAATGGGGGGAGAGAAAGAAAAAAGAGTTGGTGGCTCATACAACTTTGTACTTCATTTGGATAGACCGTAATAGCAGGTTATTCAACTCTCAAGCTAAAACATCAACTCAAATTCTCAGGGATATTGACAGGCAAATCCGCAATACAATCATAGCAAGACGGTATCAGAGGCGTTTCAGAAATTTAATGCTCTTGTGGCTTGAATGAGTGCAGATTTAGTTCTGCGCATATACCTTTGCTACCATGTTTTTTCCTTTTTTTTTTGTCATGGTAACAAGTATCTGTGTTAATTATAAGCTCATTTATAAAACTCAACTTTCATTAATATGAATATTTACAGTTTCCAAAACAAAAGAAAAAAGTGTATTCCCACTAAATGGGGAAATGTTTTGAAAGACTTGGTCAAATGAAAAATTAGAAAACCACTTTCGCATCAACGAAAATTTTATATATAACACACAAAAATACTTTCTAGCGATAATTTTTGTTATTCACGTGTTAATTATTTATATTTTCCAGTTCACTATATTTCAACTTAGCATCGTATTAATAGAATCACACGCATTATTAACTAATAACACGTCTAATAACTCATAGCGGATATATTCACACGTTAAATAACATTTTATTTGTTAATAATGCATCGTATATATAGAACACACATATTAACGTCAAATAGCATGGGATTTGTCACATTATGTGTATCACGTGTAATATATATTCTTCGGTTGAAACAACATGTTTTTTTGTTTCAAAAAAACAACATGTTTTGTTTGTTATAAACGTGTATTAATTTTCTGCTATGACATTTTACATATGAACATTGAAAGTTAAAATCGTCCATAGCTTCTGACTTTTGGATATGCTAATCATTTCAAAAACTTCCTTCACCGTAGAA